TAACAATAATTTTTTCGTTTAAGTAATAAGTCCTGTTACAAATTTAAAACGCGATTGTGCAAGTGGTAGAGCCATGCTGCGACTATATTATGGCCGTAGCACGAATGGTTTGGTTTGAACCGGGGAAGGGCCGTTCTCTCACAGGATACCTACGTCAAATAGCAGCTAATACTGTTGTGTTTCGTATCGTTAGTGTTAAGATCCAAAGAACCTTACTGCTTTTATGTATCTTTTACATACTTACTGAAAACGAGGCATTCCATCTTAGTCTTCAGGGGTAACAAGGCATCCCCTTACCATCAAGTAGACTGTATGCTTATTTGTTGTAAAATTACACAAAAATAAATAAAATATGTTAATTAATATAATAAACATTTTCATTAAAACTGTTTCTTAATTTCGTTCTTAATAATAAAGATTTAAAAGAAACATTTTTTATTCCTCGTTGCTCCCTTTTTTACTGTAAAAACATTGGATCATTTACTCGTTATTTCAGCAAACGCGTTCTAAGTACCCAATTAGTCTTCTGGTAATAGCAACTAGCTCTTTGCCAAACCACATATCCAACCTTATCTAAATTTATAGGTAATTTAGTCCCTGGTCACGACACGTCATTGTATAGAGATACGGTAAATTTAATCTATGCTGCATAAAGGTACGTAGCAAAAGCCTTTACTAAACAACCATTCCAGTTTTGGCACACTCTGTTATGCTCTAATATTTGCATTTAGCCTGTGTTGGTTCTACGAGTATATATTGGCAAGTTTCCCCAAAATTGATTTCAAGTCTATGTTACATTTTTAGAAGAATAATAAATTAAAACTAAAAACATAAATTATTATACAGTTATATGTTTCTACCTATGTCCGTTATGAACTGGTTGTTTGAAATCATCCGATTTTGTTGAAACTTTGTGTGTTTTCAACTTTAACGCGTTTATAATTAATTATTTCGGTATGTAATCTGTAGTAAATGATGTTGCTGTCAGGTATAATATACCTAATTTTATCACCTTTGCAATATTTGATTATGTCATTTTCTATTTACTCCAATGAATAAAAAAAACATAATTTTTAACTATTCTAAGTCAGTGCCTAATTTTTTTCTATATAACTAAGGTTCTCGTGATAACCAGTAAAAGAAATTTGGGGAGACCCACCAGTAGATGGAGTGACGTCCTTTTAAATGCGGAATGCATGCGGAATGCTTATGTCCAGTACAGGAATTACGGTGTGCTGTAATAATGATCATGATGATAATAAGTACTATCATTTACTTAGTAGTAGTGCCACGCTGCAACTATATTATGGTTGTAGTACAAATAAGTCGGCTCGACCGGGATAGACCTACGCTCTCACAGAATACCAGCCCAAAATAGCAGCTTAATGATGCTGTGTTTCGTATAGTGAGTGTAGGGTCCCGAAGACCTTTTTTTACTGGAAATTAGTCATCCAGTCCTCAGAAGTAACAACACATCTACATTTTGATTCTTGATTGAGGATAAATGTAGATATCTATGGGCTACAGCATCCACTTACCATCGGGTAGACTCTGTGTTCGTTTGTCACCCTCATTCTATAAAAAAACTAAACGCCGTTAAAGGCGCGAGATGCGCCTTTAACGGCGAGTGCTTGTACTGCATCGCTATTAGAATACATCACCTTATTAAGGCAGAAACTTATGTCCAGCCATCGTCTATTATGAATGGAAGGAAAGATACGATAGAATTTTCTTCTTATTTTAGATATTTATATAAATAATATTTCGCTTGTTGAATTTATATTGCCTATTAATGACGATAAGTTTTTTATCGTGCAGTGGCGGTGTTGAAAATTCACTAATAACCCCATATCATCCAGTGGGTGCCGTAAGAAGAGAGATATTTGTCAAAGTTGCCACGAATGACAGGCGGGTTGGCCACGCAGATTATTATTATTAGCTGTGCCTGGGACTTTGTTTGCATAGACTAATTGCTATTGAGTTGTTATCACTCAACTTATTTGATTTACGATACGTAATACTGTACTTTGTTTTCTCTAGTTACTAACACCTACTTTGTGAGTACGAACCAACAGATGAGTAACTTTATTATTATTAAGTTATTTTTTTATGTGAATCTCCCGCATACTCAGGTTAAGTATAAAGTTTCTATCTTGTTTTCTCAATATCAAGGAAATATTACTAATTTTTTTGAGAAACAAAATTCTTAAGCCTGTAACCTGAACCTGATCAGTTAATCTATGGAGGAGATTCCGCAGAGAAGATTTGATAATCTGATATGAAAGAATAAACTGTCTTTATATGTTAAATAGACTCAATAACGAATTATTTTTACTAAACGTATATACACTAAAATTTTAAAATATTAATGCAAAATAATATTTGCTTTTAAGATATGAATAGAGCTAAAAAAACTGCTTTGAATTCACAACAACGGAAACTAAGTTGAGAAAAGTTTTCAGTTTATCTTCGGTCAATAAACCCTTTGTTTTGGCAAGCGCTGTTACTAGCGCATATTATTCTGAGAAACTTTGTTCGTGGTATAATCAAATAATTAAGATTTTACTTTGAAATTGAAAATTGCAAGCCCTAAGTTCTTCATCTCTGTGGTACATTAAAGTGAGGGAAATAAAATTTGCCTTTAACAATTTTATAATCATAAAATATAAGTAGTCGAAAAGTTTGAAAGTGTCACAGTCATATTCAAAACTATTTTCGATTTAATCTTGATTTCAAGTTCTAATAAACGTTAAAATTTACACCGGTTCACAAAAATTAGACAGTCTTACATTTTGACAAAGCTTAAGATGGTAAATCATTATAATTAAAATATAAATTTCTATATAAAGCCGTCAAAAATATTTATATGAAAAATATATTAAACAACAAAAATACATTAATAAGCATAAAATAAAATAAATACATTTCAGACATTAATTATCTTTAATATTATTAATTATCTAAATTATCTTATTGGGGTATCTATATGGTTTTCTCATCTGGTTGGGTTCCACAAATATATAATTGTGAATGAGAATGATAATATAATTAATAATATATAATTATAAATATCAATAAAATAAAACAAATACAAAAAATACATAAATAAATAAAAGTCCAACCAGATGGACCCAACCAACTGCCGAGGGTTAGGGGAAAAGGAAGAGAAACCGGCGGACAATGCGGGCGGATCGAGGAGAACCGCCTTCTGCATTTGAGACCGGAGCGGTTCGTCACGGAGTCCCAGTCGCCTCAGATGACCCGAGAGGCTGACCAGGATTAGCACATTCGCAGAGACGACTACAGGAATAATTTCGGTCGACAGCCCACCCCACATGTTGTTCACCTCGTGAGCCAGGTCCAGATATTTTGTTTGCTTATCTGTTTCGGATTTCACGAGTTTCTCGTCATACGGAATGGTAATGTCGACCAAAAATAATCTTGATTGTGCTCGTTCCATCAGCACAATATTATTACAGCTTATTCGCAAAAATAGTCCTGTCTGTGATGATGGTCCTGTCTCAGTAGAGCCTGACGCGGTCATTTTCCATCACGGCTTCCGGCAAGTATTTGTGATCTGATCTGTTTTGAATCTGATCTCTGATATCTCTCGTGGAGCTCCTTCTCTTTCCATCTCTCTTGGTCTCCCGGCCGGAAATGCTCTGCACTGCCGGGTCTTGCCATTGCTCGTTGGCTAAGGATAGAGGGGTAAGTCCTTTATCACAAGAAATGACGTCATTATAGAATGGACCATCCGATCTCACTAGGAAGTAATGACGAAGGCTGCACACTTCGAGATTATGCATGGTGAGCGCGCTCAGAAAGCCACGCCCACCATGCTTTCGCGGCAAGTGCAGCCTCATTACCGATGGTTTCGGAGAATGCATTCTATGGTACGTCATTGTAGTGCGGACTTTTTTATCCAGAGCGTTAAGTTCAGTCTGAGTCCACCTGAGTATGCCAGAGGTATACATGAGGACAGGCATGACCCAACCATTATATGCGTGTGTTTTATTTACAACGGACAAAAGTCTGTTAAGCACTATGATCAAGTGTGCATAAAACACGTCGCAAACTGTTTCGTACCAGCCTTATCGATACCGACGTTCTGTGATATACCCAGATATCGGTATGTTTCAGTCGCGAAAAGCGTCCTTAAGTTGACGGGGATAGATAAGTCTATACCCACATAGCTAACAACCCTTCCTCTATCAACATGGAGGACCGCAAACTTATCCGTTCCCAGCTCCATTCCAATAGAATTGCTAAATTCATAAGTGATGTTTAGCAATTCCATAAGTAGGGAGCGACTGGAGGCGAATAACTGGAGGTCATCCATACAGTGAAAGTGGTTTACTTTTTTACCTCCCTTCCGAAGCTAAAATCTCTTCTCAGAGCCCTCCAGTAAAGTACTGAGAGAGTTCAAAAAGGGGCAGAACCAGATTGGACTCGGACAGTCGCTCCGGCAGATACCTCTTCTTATCCTTATGCGGCTTTCCGCAGCCGTCATCCGCTCACCCAGATGACAAAGGATCTTTTCCACTGCCCCATACTCTGCGCGAGGAAGTCTCTAGCTGTAGAGTCAATTTTGTACAGCTCGAAGACTCTCTTTAGACATGTATGGGACACCGAGTCGAATGCCTTTCTGTAGTCTATCCATACGGCGGAGAAGTTCCGACGGTTGCGTTTTACCACTTTGCCAATTAACGCGTCAATGAGGAGTAGGAGTGCTTCCTTGGTTCCACAACTACCACCCCGACATCCGTTTTGAACGCGTGAAATCACCTGATTTAACTCCAGGTGACGAGTGATTCTTGCGCACAAAATGGATATCAGTATCATATATATGGTGGGTAGACACGTGAAAGGGCCTTATTTGCTCGGATTGGTGGTATCCTGGTCTTTAGGAATCAAGTGAGTGATCCCAGTAGCGAAGAGGCTCGGGAGCGATTTCTGTTCGAGAGCCTCTTGAAACTGTCGGGCGAGCACAGTGTGACACACTACCAACCCCTTCCGCCAGTAACGATGCAGTATTCCGGCATAATAATGACGGGGTTCATAGTAACACTCGCAGCCTGGCTCGCCACAACTTCCATCCAAGAGCCCTCGCTGTGGTTTATGGGCTCTGACCACAGGCCACGCCAGAATGCGACAGTGTTGGTCTTATCTGATCCTGAGCCCGCTCCACATACCCCTGGTTGCTCCAGTGATTTATAGAGCCTCTTCTGATCACTCTGGAAGAGATGATCTTGGTTGAATCGCCTTGAAATCTCGGTAAATAATCGAATACGCTTCCCCCATGCAGGGATTTTTTGCTTCAGGTCGTCTATATGCTCCGTTAGTTTCTGCGTGATATCCGGCTGAGAAAAACTGATATTTGTCCCAGCAAACGCCATTCTAACGGTGCCCACAACCCTCGGTCTATTATTACCTGACCTGAAGCTTGTCACTCTGCCGATAAGGGCCCTTGCCTTTGCGATACGGTCCTCAAATCTTTTTCTCCGGGCTGTGATGACGCTACTTTGTTTCGTAGCGCGTCCAGCCATGGGAACTTTGGCGCCAATAATACGGCAAATTGCGACTGCGGCGCCAAAAATAATTGGGTCCGTCTCACACAGGTCCAGTCTGGCTTCCAAATAGGTCACCAGTATTGGGTTAAGAGCCCTCAGGACAGCCCTATTTTGCTTGCTTACGGGTATGCGGGGAAGTCGTGGTCGATTTTCGAGAGGCATGCTGCGCGTTTTCTAAATCGCCTCTTCCAATATGCTCCTCATTTGCTCCATTTTTGAGACCATTTGGAGACCATTTCAGTATAGTCCGTTTCAATCACAACTGGAAGATCCATTGTGGCTTCCACGTGTGGATGCTGGTCTGTCGCCTGAGGAGCCGCATCCCCAGCCATAGCCATTTCATTCGATGAGGGAATGGCCTCAAGTCGTAGTCGATCGAGCTCGGCATCATCAAATATTTTCGAGCGCATGATGTACCGAACTCGGTCTGCCAGGTTTTGCTCCGTGACAAGAATAGACGGCTTCTGCTCAGCAAAAAAGCAATGCATCCGAGCGAGCTTTCGCCCTTTAGTACGCTCGCAACGCGTGCGTTCGTATTTTTTGTCCAACGCATGCGGCGCACTAATTACTAATTATCTTTATTGTTATAATATTTTCGACTTGTATTTCTATAATTTATCACATTTTAAATATTTTAATAAAGTTTTTAATAAATTTATTAATTTTGAAAGAGAATATTAAGCCTTTAATTTACTATTATTCTTAATGTCTGAAATGTATTTATTTTATCTTTATGCTTATTAATGTATTTTTGTTGTTTAATATATTTTTTATAAGAATATTTTTGACGGCTCTATATAGAAATTTATATTTAATTAATTATAATAATGATGGGATGTCACAATATGCAAAAGAAAAAGCGTTGGTGATAGCATGCAGCCTTGTGGAATACCAGCGTTAATGGTCTTTAAATCGGAGCTTGCACCGTCTACTACGATCTTGATGCTCTGATCTGTAAGAAAATCGGTAATTCAATCGCACAATTTTTCGGGGAGCCCATAGGGAGGAAGCTTCGTAAGAAGCGCTTTGTGCCAAACCCGATCAAAGGCCTTCGCCTAAACTAACGGCCAACACCTTCTCCTTGTACTCTATTACCTCCGCTCATTAATGAGTTAAATAAACCAGAAGATTACCAGCTGAGCAACCACAACGGAAACCGTACTAGCGGGTGCTAATCAGCTGGTTGTTCTCAAATAAGCACATGAGTTGGCTGTTAATAACGGACTCCATCATTTTAAAGAACAAGAAGGTGACGGCGATAGGCCTGCAGTTGGACGGATCAGAGCGGTTACTGTTTTAAGAATCGGGTGCACGAAAGCTACCTTCCATGATTTCGAAACTTCGCCTAGAGAGAAGGAGTGCCGGAAAAGATGCACTGCACAACAGAAGAGATGCCATCAGGCCCATTCGTCTTGTTGATGTCCAGGGAGATGGGTGCTCTGCGCACCGAGTTTTGGGTAAACAGCACATCTGGCATGCAGCACACACACCCCGGCATGGTTAACGGTGTGTTCCCCCTGTCCTCAAGAGTCGAGTTATACTCAAAGAGAGAGCCCAGCAGTTCGGCTTTGTCCTTTGCGGCATAGGCCAGTGAGACATTTTGCCATTGCAGAGATGGAAGAGATGGCTGACAGAAGTTCCCTTGGATAGCCTTGGCCAGAGATCAGAATGCATATGTTCCCGAAGGAAGAAGAACAAGTTCTTCGCCGATTCTGCCGATGTGCTTTTTCCTTTGAATAATTGAATTTTTTTGAATTTTTTTGAATTGAATTGAATAATTGAATAAATTTGAACTTTGCCTTGACAATGACACTTTTGAAGGACCTGCGTAATTATACTTCTTTTTATGAGCGCTAGTATTTGCATCCTGAGGCATCGATTCATGAGCCCAGGCCTGGTAGCACTTTTGCTTATGGCGTAATGCATTTTTGCAGCAGCGACCAAACCATGGCTTGGTTCTGCCTGCGATAGGTACCACAAATATTAAAATAAAAAGTTCCATTCCCTGTAGCACCACAACAGCGACAGAATCAGTAACAACGCTAAAATCATCTGGCAAGAAACAAACTCGTCCATAGTGGTAGGATGCAAAAAAAGATCGCATCGCGTCCCAATCAGCTAACCTATAGTGCCAAACACGTGGGCAACCTGCAGAACGAAACCGCGATGGGGGCGTAAGTGGCACCGTACTCCGAATCGGACAATGGTCCGAGGAGCTAAGACTGGCATCGGCGGAGACCTGATATCCGCCCGGATGAGAGGTCAGCAAAAGGTTCATCGGGGAATCTACATGATTTTCCACATCTGGGACCCGCATAGGTGAGGTAACAAGTTGTTTCAGACCATATGCTAAAGCGAATCCGTAAACAAATCTACCCGTATGATGAGGTTAAATGAGAACCAAGCCAAGTGGTAGGCGTTAAAATCACCAAGTATCACATCTTTGCGGGTGGGACCTGCTGTAACACGGAGTCTGCAGCCACTTTGACGTGGTTGATGAGTCGGTCTGTGTCGATATTACCGCTATGGGACCTATAGAGGCAGCCGCAAACTCCAGCCCGGGGCATAAAAAAGTGTTTTTATTTGTAACCCGGGTATATGTATAATGTAACAGTATTAATAATTACATCTGTGGATAGTCTGCGATATTGTTCTTTTTAAAGAAAACATTTACAATGAATGCAGTAACGATAATTGTTTTTTATTGATTTTTGTAAACTCGTAAGTCATCGTTAATTTAGAAGTAAACCACAAACTTTTATTTTTTAATACTTGATAGAGCCACGCTGCATCTATTTTATGGTTGTAACTCGAATGGATCAGTTCGGCCGGTGAAGGACCATACTGTCACAGAATACCAGCGTAAAATAAAAGCTTAATACTGGTGTGTTAAGTACGGTGAGTGTAGAGATCCGGAGACCCTTTTTTACCTGAACTACCTTTTACTATCCAACTGCTCTATACATTATCTCTAACTCTTAGCCATAATCCGTCTCTAAATTGGATTTTACACGGTTAAAATATAGTCGTAAAGTCATAGCCATACTTCGTTCTATCTATCGTCTTAAGTTTTTTCTGCCCCCTTCAACTAAACTTCTAACCATCCAATCTCGAATTCTTCAATTAATTGACAATATATATTTTGTCTAACTAATATTTCTCAGGACGCCAGTGCAGAGATTTCCAAATCCTGTCCACACTGTTTTCAGTTCTTAATGATTCTTCATCACCCCTTTATCTTAAAGAAAGTTTCCAAATCCGTGATGACACTCATTTGTTTCAATCGTCGTCCTTGCTATATAGCATTAAGCTCGCCTTTTACACAAAATCTTTGGTCAATAAAGAATAAAATAAAAATAAAATAATATTGTAATAAGTACATAACCTACATATATAATTACTGGTTATCATCGTTTACCATCGCTTGTTAGGGTTTACAGCACGGAAACGTCATCAACATACGTTAACAAAAAATAAAAACTCCAAGTACACAGAATTACTTTACATAGCACTAGCCATCAGGTGGACCGTCTGCTTGTTTAGTTGTAACATATGATAGATTGCAATTGGATCTGGTGGTTGATTTTATTTTCGAGATCTAAAGGTCATTCCTGTGAAGCTGGGGTGGATCGCAGTCACATCATAAAACCTTATCAAGAATGAACGAAGGCCTGTATAGTTTAGCAGGGGAACGTAAGTAAGCTGTTAGAATATATTAAAGTAAAATGATCAAGTCAGCCATGTTGTAACTAAATTGTTGTTGTAGCACGGGTTCGCAAGACCGCGAAAAGCCCACGCTCACACAGAAAATCAGCGGAAAATAGCCTAATGCTTCTGTGTTCTCATGGTGACAACTCACCTGCATTTTAATCGATGATAGACGTAGATATCTATGGGTCACAGCATCCACTTACCATTAGGTGGACTTTCTGCTCATTTATCATCCAAATTTTATACAAAAAAATATTTGTGAAGATGCTGCAATTGCAACTATGGACTCTATTTATAGGGGTATTTGCACAATCAATTATAAAAAGCAGAAAATGATAATTTATCAGAGCGTGCTTCATTAAAATTCAATGAGAATTAATTTACGTTGTGCAGAATTCGCACCTGGGTGAAAATAATTATTTGTACTCTGTTTTATAAAATTATACTTTATGTTACCACTAGCATATTTACTTTTTTTAAACCACTTATAAAGGATATTCCAAATTCAAATGAATTTATGTCAAGATGTTATGAATGTACGTATAACCTCAATACTTCAGAACAACAACTTATATACATAACATATCTTTTGACATTAGTTAATCGATTTTACTTACGCAACTTTAATACTGCTCATATTAAAGAAGCGATCGAGTGGAACCAAGGCTCCAAAGTCTTTACCAGAAATCTGTCTGCCAGAAAGAGCCAACTGTCAAAGCTGATGAGCAAATATGGCAGCATCGTTTCCGGGATAGTTGAGATTTTGAGTGTGACTGAGAGGTTCTATGGGTAGCTGTACACATCATCGTTGGAGCCACATGCAAGTGTAAGTAACGATCCAAGAGTACGTCTCATCCGACACTATTCCGATGAAATCCAGTCAGTTTGAGCGAGATCAGAATGGCAATCCAGCACCTTATAAATGGCAAAGCCCCAATCGAGGATCAAATTACGACACGGCTTCTGAAAACGGGTGCAAAACCGGTGATTAAAATCCTCCAGAAGCTCTTTTGATTCCATCTTCCATAGTGGAAATACTCCGAAGACGTGGAACAGAAGTGCAGTGGTCTTGTTTCTAAAGAAAAGTGACAACGCTTTCTTAAAGAGCTACTGACCTATTTCCCTTAGAATTGTCTTGCAAGCCGACTCGATGACTTCTTGCCTCCCGGTACTAAGATGAAGATGGACAAAACAAAATCATGTGTAGCGTCCATGTCACATCTATGCCGGTAGTTGTTGGGAGCACTAAGCTCTAAGTTGTTGATGAATATGTTTACTTGGGACAAATATTCCGACTAGGTAAGTTTAACTTCGATTGAGAGGTTACTTGATGGATTCAACTTGGCTGGGTAGCTTTCGGGAGATTACGATACATCTTCTCGTCAGGAATACCTCAAAACCTCAGAACTAGATTGTATAACCAGTGCGTTTTGCCATTGATGACCTATAGATCTGAGACGTGGTCCTTCACTGCTGGCTGTATGAGTAATCTCAAAGTTGCTCAGTGTTGAATATGGCAATGTTTATACATTTATTTAACGGAAACAGAAACAGAAACTTTTTTATTCAATGTAGATATATAACTTTTTTATTCAATGTCTAACAATACTTTTTATTATTATTAATAATAATAATAAAATTAACACATAGTTTCAACAATGATATTAGAATGGAATTTGGAATAGATAAATGTGCTGTCATCAACGTAAATAGGGGCAAAATTAAGGATTGTAATAATTTTGCAATTACAAATGACTTACACTTCAGTTCTCTTTCA